TATTTAAAAATTATTTTTGTCAATTTCACATTATTAAGATAATTTTACAAGGAAATATTATATCTGAAACTCGCAACAAATGCGAAATACGAACTTTTCAAAATAATATTATGGAATCCAAAAAGTGTAAAACACTATCCATTGTATATCCTTTAAAGTTATAAGAACTTTTAATATTTAAATATCAAAAAAATTGTATGATACTCAAATGTCTAATTTAAGATATTATTAATATATTACATGATTTTCGAAGCAATCCTGCCAAAATAAAATCTCTAATAATTTTAGACAATGGAGAAATTTAGACGGAGAACAACAAAAATATCTGATACAAATAAGTCCACCTGCGGACCTTATACCAGAAATAATAAGAAGTATTGTGATAGCACAAAATATAACAAATGCTGGCATTATGTTTGATGATACATTTGGTGTGTTAAGTAAAGTCTATATAGAGTATGCATAAAATCCTAGCCTAACGAGAAGGACGGAAATAATAATAATATTATTTTCAGCAAATATGTTAACACAAGTAATAGCTTAAGAAAAAATGCCGGGTAATTCATTTAACGTAGAACACTTCTTATTCAAATGTTAATGTTTTTGAAAATATTTTTTTTACTTAGTTTCAAGTTACTACGAAAGCAGAATATTTTTCTGAGTATTTCAAAACAATAAAAATCGAATTAAATATATGAGTTATGAGTGATTTAAATTTTAGATGACCGGAGAAGTGGACTAACATTTTGCGGGATACCTAGGTCCWAGGTACCACTCCTCTCATCAAAACCATGAATACGTATAGCTCATAAACTACTTGTTCTAAATTCAATTTGTATGAATCAAAATATGTTTAAAAAATATTCCACATTGAAAAATTAAATTATTATAACTGTTTGTTGTTTTCAAAATATTAAAAAAATTTTAAATGTTAAGGATAAAAACAAAAAATGTATACATATAAAAATATTATTTTTTAACRACTAAAAACCATATAAAAATTTCCACCCTTTTCCATAATATTCTGTTAACTAAATTTAAACTGTATTTTATGTACTTAATTAGCATTTTAAATATATTTTATAATGTAATATATTCTAGTAATGGATCATAAGTATAAATCGTTACTACAAAATATTCCGACTAGGCATATTATAGCTGCTATCGATGACACTACCAGCATTAAACTACACTTGACTAGATTTCGTGATGTGGACATAGTCAACTTTTTTGTACTGGGAAAATTATCAATCATTAAATCTGTTTTGGACCACGCGAATTCCAATAAATTATTTGGTCGAAAATATGCATGGCATGTAATCACACAGGTGAATATAATAATTTGGAACCAAAAATATTTATAAGCTCCATTACTAATTAAAAATCGGATGATTTTTTTTCTTATTATTATTATATATATTTTTTTATTTGTTRTATCAAATATGTACCTAAGGTTAGGACCTGAGGGACACAATGTTCAATTAATATATTAATTGATTGAAKATAGGATACATTCAAATTAATATTAATTACTAACTACGTTAATCAAGTAAAAATAAAAATACCAAATTACATGTGATAAGTAGCTTTGAAGTGAGTAATCATCCATTAAAAACGCTCACTGTAGATTTTTTTCTTACTTGTAAAGAACATAGTCAATTTAAAAAAGAAAGGAGATAAARAAGATCAAGATACAAAATCCGATGGTTTAAATGTATTTAATACAATCATTATTTTACATACGCTGAACCCTTTTAAATGCCATATAAAAATAAATATTTACAAAATGTCCTGTAAACTCTATTTAAAATCTCTCTTTTTTGAAACTTTTAAACTTAAGTACATTTTTTGTCTCGAGCACTCCAAACAATCTGTTTGACATTTTTTAAAGCCTTAAGATATTTAATACAATTTTGGTGGTACTTAAGTGGGTACTCGAATCATCAAGACATCGCCGTGACTTTAAACCTGTTTAAATTTTCTTTGTTGTAAATAAACTTAGTTTATAATATAGGTGGGTAATTTTAATAAATGCTAATATTTTTACAATTTATGACTAATATAAGATCGTCACTTACAACTTATTATTATTCTCATMATTTGGTAAACTAGATAAAAATATATTCACTTTATATTATACTCTAAGTTCATAACCRTTTAAAATAAAACATATAAATATTATGGAATGTTAAATATATAGTCAATAATAACTTAAAATACACAGTATAGTTAAACGTAGATCCGTAATTTATTATGTTTAAATATTTAATATTCTTCATGTATTAAATTACGAGCGACCACAGTATCAATTTAATAACTATTTCACAAAACTAAAGATTGTTCCAAATATATATTTTGTGAATAGGATAAAGGAT